TATCGAGAAATACATTCCAGTCCAATCACTTGGACTTTCCAATTTAATTTTTAATTACTTGGAAAATCTAAATTCTACGTGCATAAATTGTCCTTTCCTCTGATTTTCCTAAATTTAAGAAAAAAACAATTAAATCATAAATTTATTATTTTTCACGTTACGTAGTTTCCATTTTTCCACTTGCTCAAATATAAAAACAAGTTGGAAACAAGATTTTTTTTTATCAACTTTACCGTGAACTTTTTCATTTCATTACATCAAACGTAGGAGAATATATTTTTAATAAAATACAAGTATATTTGTACTTTTTTATTCGACGGGATTAGACACAGTCGCGTCGTGCATAATGCGCGCTTAACAGTATCGTACAATCAGATCCAGCGGGGAATCGGTCGAATTTATAAACCGATGGTTTCTTTACCGATTTCGATGATTTTTTTTTTCTTTTACCTCCAATGGGAACTTTGTCGGACTTTGTTAAAGAAAAGAGTCGTTCGGGGTGTCGATCTCTATAATCGATCTGCAAATGGTATTTCTTGGTTTATTATTGTTAATTTTGTTAATATCGGTACGAGGAAGCACGGACAGCAGGAAAATAGCAGGAGGCAGTACATCTCGTACGTGTCGTTGCGACTGGCAAAATCAACGTCGTTGCTCAGTTCTGAAATTACAGGCAAAGAAAAAAGATTAATTTCGTCGATGAAACGACCGTCAAAATTACCACCTTTTTTTATTCAAAAAAGTCGACCGTTGTCAACAACAAATCGATCCTTAACAAAACGTCACGGTCGTCGACACATTTGTACAACGCGTAAACACAACAGCGGTGACACGAGCTAGCAGCGACAAACTGGCTCGACAAAGGAACAACGATTTGGTAGAAAGAAAGAGGAAAATATACACGGATGGGAGACGCCGAGGGATTGCAAAAAGTCAATTACATTTACAACGTGCGTAAAAGAAAATCGAGTCTACGGTTTTCCTCGAGGCTTTTTCCATCGCTAGAGTCACGAAAGAAAATATTCGCTAGAGTCACGATTGTCACATTTTCGTTGGATTCTGACAGATAAATACGTTAATTTTTGTTTCTTTCCGTGAAATATCTCGAGAAAATTACCATTTTATTTTACACCTACGCGATATCTTTACGCCGCGTATCTTTTCGAGGAAGAATCAATCGCTGTTTCGACGCGAGTTTCGCCGCTCGATTAATTTCAGCGAAATGGTGGGAGAGCGTCAGTCGGTTAACGAGGCGGAGGATCTCGGTCTTTTGAAATTTCAAAAACGAAAATCCAAAATCCGGTTTCTATGAGAAGGTCTCTGTATATATATATATATATAT